AAAAAAAAAAAAAAAAAAAAATCTAGATCGAAATTGAAAAAAAAAATGTTTTGATTCGTCACAATACGAATGACGTTTAAAGCAAAGGTCAGGTACGTTTTTTATTACGAGACAACATAATCGCCGGGTATCTATTCGAATAAAAAAAAGTTATCGCAAGTCACGCAATACCGAATAGGGTATTTAAATTCAAGGTGTAATTAAGTATAACGGTCGAAAAATATTTTTGTTGAAAATATTTTTTAAAAAATTCAAATTTTACATCGACCAACTGTTTCCTGATTTTGGCAAATTGGCAGATTGCCATTGGTAATGATTTTGAATTAATAGCTTTCGTTATTCCTGTGAATTTTTTCGTTATGCATTTTTTGCATTCTATGCAAATTTTCGGCGTTTCCAGATGCCACGGGTAGGACAGTGTCATGCGAGGCGTCGGCAGGGTCTTGCATAAAATATGTCAGAAGGTTAGGTAAGCGCAGCGAACAAAGTCTTTCACTCGCGACGTATTAAGCCAAGAAAACATGGCGATCCGTACGTGGACCATTGAGTGACAAATATTTGTGGCGATTTTTTTTTCCATTTTGGATTGGTTTAAAAAAAATTTCTAAATTTTCATTTATTCGAATTAGAATTCCCATACGTAACGACCGACTGTATTTTCTTTATTTCGCACACCCCATAGAATTTGCATTCGCGCTTGGCGGGAAATTTAAAATGGACAAGTTATCGTAATTAAACAAATATTTAAATGTGTGACGATGAGAATCGTCATTTCGGATATAAGGTATTATGTATCGTTCTAGAAGAACGATGCTTATGCACGATTATTATTGTTATATCTGCCAAGGAGTGGGGATAAGACAAATGTAAAGTTATAAGAAAATTTGATCAACACCTCGACAATCAGTTTCCCACATACTTTCGGAGTGTTTGTTTCGTTTCTTGAAAATAGTATATTTCGTACAAGCAAACAATAATGGCAATAAATTAATTTTCAAAGAGTCAATACGGCCGTTATATTGCTGGATTGTTGCGGCTTTGGTGAGAACGAAATTAGCAGTTTTTTTTTTTAATTTCAATTGTGCCAACAGCAATGCCGGACTCGCTGTACGAGGTATTGAACAAAATTGAAAACTTTGAATAGTCTGACACTGCGAGTGTCTATAATTTTTTATGTAACTCATGCATGAAAAACAGTACTTTTCGTGCCTCCGAAGTGTGGCGAAAGTGGCGCTTTGTATCTGTGGATACGATAAAAATGCTGCGCATGCGCAAATCGGCCCAATTTTACATTATCGCACTAGCGCGACAAAGTAAACTTTGTTCTCGCGCGCTGTCACGAAATGCATTCACTTTGGAAGCCTTCCTTGCCCTTCTTATGGCTGCCTCCTCCAACGAGGAGACGTTCCAGTCACTTTGGAGACACAAAGAGTAGCGTTTTTCATGCATTCGTTACAGAAAGTATTATGCGATACCGGTACAATAAAGCGAACATTATACGCAGTTCGTGAAGTTTGTCACACTCGTGTGCGGCTGAGACACAAAGAGTAGCGTTTTTCATGCATTCGTTACAGAAAGTATTATGCGATACCGGTACAATAAAGCGAACATTATACGCAGTTCGTGAAGTTTTTCACACTCGCCGCACTCGTAAAACAAGCAGCACTCGCCTTCGGCTCGTGCCGTTGTGTTACTCGTGTGCGGCTCGTGCGACCAACTTCACCGCCTGCCTATAAAGTTCGCTTTCTCGCGCTTGTATCGCAAAGTACTATTATGCAAGGAAAATTGAGTGAGATTTGCAATTAAAAAATTGTAAATCGTGTTTCGAACGATGCTTATGAAATTTTGTATTTATACAAATATTTTTGTTATACCGAAACAAAGTCCTGCGGTCAAAAAATTGTTGCGCTAATGGGAGGAAAAATTCCAAATAAAAATTTACTTAACCGGCCGGATTAGCTTCTCGTTTAAAATTCCGCCGGCAATAACAAAACCGGTACGACGAAAATTGTCGTCATGGAAAATAATGAGTGGCTCGATTTCAATCAACAGGTTGCGCTGTTGGGTTACAATAAAGAAAACATGAAAATTACGAAAATAAACGTGAACTCAGCGCAGAAACAAATGAATGGCAAACGTATAATTGTATAATAGTAGAAATTTTCCAAAATTGTATAATACAACGAAACTTGTTTTTTAAATCATAATATTCTATCAACCGGTTATCAAGGTCAGCCAATATCGAATCGAAGCAATAATTTTGTTATTCCCAATTAAATTGAATAAAAAAAACCGACTTTTTATCATTCTTTTATTTTTTTTATTTTACAGCGTGAAGAATACTATGACCAACTGATCAACACTTATTAACCGAAGTAGATCCCGAAAGTCAAGAAACTTAAAAAAATCGATCGTCAAAAAATACCATAAACAATAAAAAAAAAAAGAATAAACAAAAAATTCTGAGCTCAAAATCGACGCGTACATAACGGGAATACCATCAGCAGTCCCCCCAAAAAAAATCCGTTAATCAACAGATGCCATCCGCACGTTCAAAAAACTGTCAAAAATGTTGATGCGCGATGTCGTCAGCGAAATCGGTTCGCGAATTGGACTCGGCGGTAATTCCGGTTGCGAGCAGGGTGGCAGTTTGAATCGCGGTATTTCGCAGTTGGCAGCGCTGCTGCTCGAGGATGAGGATATGCAATCGACGACAACGAGACTGTCGGCGCCATTGGACGAGAATCGTCCGGTCGTTAGCGCGGCAAATCGCATACCAACAGTCAATCGAAGTTTCCGCACATACAGGAGGAGGAGTAATCGCGTGGCAGGTTGGTAACACTGTACAAATAATAATTCGTTGATCGACAAAGAAAGATTAATCAATCTTAAAAATGATTTGAATTAAAAAAAAAAAAAAAGAATTACACGCATTCGCATTTCGGCTGTCAACGAATGCGAGAGATTGATCGGACCGAAAGGGGATGAATTGACAGGAAGGGTTCGCGAGAGCTAAGTAAGAAATTCGAGAGAAGTTATTTAAAGTTTTATGTTTGTATTTTCGCCATTGTTACCAGCTCAATGTTTCCGTAAGATTTTAACTACAGAAACTCAAACGAAGCGAACGAATGAAATGGAAACTGTGACGTTTATGCAAGTCAAAGTTGTTTTTGCTGTTGGTATTGAGGTAAGGAGAATAATTGGAAAACAATAGACACACGCGCGTGTTTGTATACGGGTGTCGAAGCAATTCGATGCATCGAATTGACCCCATTTAACTCAATCTATGCAAACGATGAGCAAAGCCCGACGAGGCTGGGAATGTCGCCAATTTGTGCATTAATGCGATCGCGACACAAGAGGCAAATATTATACCGATTCCTGGTGCTTAAGTTATGCAGGAATCGTTTATTTGTTGTCATCTAATTTTTGAGGAGCTTCAAGTTACGCACGTGTATCCCACGCGAGTGCCAAGCGCACGCCGCGCCACATACGGCAACCGATGGTACTACGGCAGTCGGAAAGAAAGCTTAAAAGACAAAAACAAAGAAATTGTCAAATATTGTGTAAGACGATAAAAGACAATTGAAAAAAAAAAGACACGACGAAAGTTACCACGATAAATTTTTCATAAATTAAATAAATAACGATACGCCTTACACAGGCATAATAACAATGCCGCCGTTCTAGCTAAAACGATAAATGCATCGAACATACGTCGAAATGTCTGCGTCGCGCGAGAAAGAAAGAATAAAAGTAATCTTGTCCGAATAAATGTGCCAGGCAGATGTGTCGACGTCCGTTATCTCCCACCACCATCTTTAATTGTTTAATTAAGAGGGACGGCCCTTTTGGAACGCCCAAGTAACGCATCAGACACTGGTGCCACGGCATCGTACGAGTTTACTCTTCTTAACCCTCAAGGAGCGTGCACAATGCGTAGAGCGTAAAGCCCGCGACGAGACGTGCTATTTTGAGCGTTAGAAAAGTTGCACGAAACTCGCCACTGCAACGCCGACGATCAGACAGGCGACAACGAGAAACGACAGTCGCGACTTACGTTAAAATTTTCGTTCGGCTGTAATGTGCGTCTCAGTGAAAAGAATGCGGAGAACCGACGTGTAGTAAAACAGTAGAGAAGTACGCGAGCAACGAGCCAATAACAAACGCGGCCATTACGTATTTTGATAGCCGAACGCGACGGGATTCCGCGTCGCGCTTATTATTTTCGTGCGAATGAAATCCTTTCAAGCAGCTGCTGGTTACCGAAGGAATGTTGGTGTTTTGAAGAAAAAGATTCCGACGCCAAAAGCACGTGAGTCGACACGTAAATAAGCTCTACTTCTTTAGTAAGTTAATTCCGTGACCGAGAAAAACGTGACTCTAGGCGAACTTCGCACGGCGACCGTTATTTTTGAATGTATCTAATCGTAAGTCGATCGTCCGAGGCACATGGAAGTGATTAACCGCTCGTTGAATATTTCTATCCTTAAAAACACAAGCACGACCACTGAAAGGATATATAGAACCGAATATGAAAGTGCATATCGCGGGGAATCATTCGTACGTGGAATTTCGAATTTTGCCACCAAATACACGACAACTGAAATCCGTTAAAACTATACGCAGAGATGAGTCGGGAGGTTTGTAAATCTTATCGGGCCTACACTGTGCGCTCGGACTTAAGATTGCAAAGAAACAAAAAATATTTAGACAATACCTAATGAGCGGTCTCGTTCGAAAGATTGCTTTGGGAACCAGCGATAAGCAGCGGAGAACCTCTGCTCGCCAAGCTACACGTTCCTGATCACGTTCAGCTCGGTTACGACGGGATTTACATTATCGACGGAGGCGACAATTACAAAATCCTACCTCCCGGACTCGCCGCTACGAATTTAGCGCCAATCTTCCGGTATCCCTTAAAAAGCCGTAGCGCTGAGCATTTCCCTACCCATCCTCTGTAATACATCCTAAAGCACTTGCATATCTATATACACCGTACACGTATCTCAGCTCGACAAGAATACATTTATTTACCAAAATATTGCGCAACATTACACCAAGCACACAATTAACATGGAAAAGTTCATTGACACGGGTCACGGTGTAATTAAAATTCTTAGCCTGGTGTCTGTGAATTGTATAGTATCACTTTTAAATAATGCAACAAACTTAATGCTACGCCCTTGGCTGCTTTACCCTCACTCTAACAACTCCGGTACCCCCTCCACGCGACCAGCCTAGTAAACGTATAGCTAAGCAGTGGCGTAAGCACCAAAAAAGTTTCTCTCCATCTACCAATGTTATAATAAGCAATCCTATTCCTATTTACAATCAACATAGACACTTTAAAACTCTATAATTTCTCCCTGTCTCCCAAGAAGCTTCTTATCACGCACAATGATTGATATGCTACTGCCATTTGACAGTAATACTAATATTTCATATAATTCGCTAAACGTCAATCCTCGAAGGTTTCTTCGTCATGAATCGTCAATCGAGTTCACTCGCGTCATACGCGATCAGGAAGTAACGCATAAGTTGCATAAATGGAAACTTAAGTAGGTACGTCGCCTATCACTGGATCACACAATGTTACGACGTGGCATGACTGGGTTCCACGATAAAGATGGTACTATCGTTATCGTCCAATGTATATAATTCTCGACAATCGTCCGTTTCACCCGAACACAAATAATAATCGATACAACCTCGATATAGAAATTCAACGGTCGTTCGTTAATAATTGTCAAGAGTCAATGTTTAATGATAATTTTTGCCTGCGAGTGTACATTTATATGTCGGAGGGGGGGCATAGGGCAATGAATGCAAGCGAGTGCAGTCTGTGACATAAGGCAGGTACGCAATGCGCGTTGGTAGTCGATGAAAAAGGAATTTTCAATGAATAACAAATGCACGGACAACCGTCGAATATAGTGGATTCGATTCGCTTCCTCATTTCGCACCGCCGTTTCGCATTTCCATTTACTTCCGCGTGCACGAGCTTACGGTTTACAGTACAATTGAAATTGGAATTGGCGAAGGAGTTACTGAAAGAAAAAAAAAAAAGGAACTAGACACAAGAGATAGAAGTCGGTTGATATAACGACGCAATTTGCATTTACATTGCGAGCGCTTTATTGTTTAATTAGAATCTTTTCTTAATATATTTCTTTAATAGTGGGAAACTTTGTTTATATATTGTTATATAGTTTATCGGGAATGTTTTTTTACTCACTCTCATCTTTCTGGTATCTAGGTCTAGTCTATTAACGACACGGTAACTCATCTGCATGATTCGACTCGTTACTTACTTATTGATATACCAACTGGATGATAATAACTCGAGCTGCTAATTTACATTTATGTATATATATACATATATATATGTCAACACATAGGCATAGGCAAAGTCTTAAAACAGTATGGACAACTATAGGCAAAGTCTAGCTGCTGATCCGATGTCAGACAGGACAGGCAGTCTGACAAGAGTATAGCATTGATCTTGCCCATTGTTTCCAGATTCTAAGGAATCTTTAGAGTCCGAAGACTACGGCAAGCTGGGCGTAGGGAGTCTGAAAGAGTGAATAAGATTTTGTGTATCGTTAACACTACCAATTTGAAAAAGCAGTTAATAAAGGGCGAGAGCACGACAAAGCATTATTGAAAGGTTCAACGGTCGTGTAAATCCCATTAACAAGGATGATACGAAATTGTAGACTGACACACATTTTTTCACAATAATCTCTGACAAAACCGATTTCGTAATCTTTGTATCTCTTTTTTTTTAATTTTATTTGAGCATTGATGATACCCCGCACCGGAAACAACGCGTGCGCACTCGCACGTTAACAGATAAAAGTGCAGGCAACAATTTGGAATTATCTCGCGAGATAAAACCTAAAGATGAATTTATCTATCGGGCACGCGCGTCCCGACGTCGTCTGCCTCCTATCGACCGGCGTCGAGAACTGCTGCTGTTTTCTTCAGTCGGCTGTTGAAAATGGCGCCCGTGTGATCGTCACACCGCGGCCGTGCAGCTTTTGCGCTGAATTTCAACGAGATTAAGAATAAACGAGATCAGATAGAAAGGGGAGAGACTACAGTAAAGATAAAAGACAGAAATACGAACTGTGTCGAGACGTGCACAATGGCCATGTCGAATTTATATTCGAAAATCGCTACCAAACCGGTGAAACGCTTTCAAGAGAATATTGCAGTGACGCAGACGAACGCTTGGGTGAACGGTGAGACTCGATATAAATACGCAATAGCCTCTACAAATACAAGGCTCCGTCCTTTACTTTAAGGCAGTAAAGTTTATTTTTAAATGAAGCACGTTACACGCCCGAGCGCCATTTAAAAAATGAGACGTTTATAATCGATAGATCGATCGACACCAGTGTCGTCGATCTTGTCACGTCGACACCCTTTGACTTTAATCTTTTATTTTTCATAAAAATAATTGGAAATATCGAAGTAAACTAAATCGTACGTATACGGCGACGACGTTGACGGAGCCTGTGAGAAATTTTTTAAAATTTGTTCTCATCGAAGGCGAATGTAATTTTAGTACTGAAAGTTATACGAATACAAATATTCTTTGTAATCGTTTTGCGTTTAAGATTACGATTGAGTATTCTTTTTTAATGTATAAGAACAGGGGATTCTATGGCACGTAGTACGCTACTGCCTTCGTAAGTGCAGCACGAGCCGAAAACAGCCGAACGCACGAATGTTAAGCGAAATAATGTATCTCCATCTCTCTTCTGTCAAGCTTGTCGTGCGTGCAGAGTATTCACTCACTCACGCGTTACACTCGGATCCTAGGGTTGTATCCTCGTCGTTTCTGTTTTCTGCTGTGACAATTCAGTGATCTCGTTATATATAAAATGATAATCTGTCTTGGACGACCGTAATTGATTAGTGACGGTCGTTTCTGAACGCCCAGAATTATGTACACCGACGGTAAATGATTGGATTTGACGTAACGCGATAGAATAAAATCAACTACGAGAATACAAGAGGCAGTCAGGCAGTTTACTCAATTAAATGTCGTGTCGTTGATCTTTATAATCCACTTTTTTTTTTCCTTCTTGGATAACAACGTGACAAATTGGTATTCGTTATGAGACGATGAAAGCAAACTAAATGAATTTTTGATGGCGTCATAAATAGAAGAAAATATGAAGGTGTCGAATCATCTTTAATTGTGACGAATATTTTGTGATCTAACCTATGTCAATATTTGCAATTTTGTTCTAGCACTGTTTTACTTTCGATAAACTGATTATAAATGAACCAATGTGAGAGATTATCATATCACGTGAAATCTTAATATTGATTTCTTATTACAATTATTGAAGATACAATTATTGAATATCATTAAAATTAGGTAAAGCCAAAATATAGTTTGGCATGTACTTAATATTCATTACTGTGGAACATAATAAGAAAGAATATTAGATGGTTAATTAGCTTTAAAACTGTCTTGTCGACTAATTGGTTTTCACCCATACAAATGATAAAAGTTTTGAGTATCTTGAATACATAAGCTATTCCATTTATGCCATAGATCACCTATTGTTCCAATTATAGCAGAGCTTAGTATTGTTATCTAATGCGTGTATGTCAAATTAATACAACCTCATATGGTATTAACATTAAACTATTCGGGTGACATTCCAGACACTCAAATTATTTCACATTCAGTCTAGCCTATAGCCTTGGACGAAGCACACGTGCTACGGTGTCTCCTTACTCCATAAACTAATGGATAACTTTGCAGATTTCATCGAAAATGGTGAACAAAATTTATGTTCTATATGCCAAATTTATTCTGCTTTTCATAAGTGTCTTTGCAACTATGCATATACAGTATACAACTGATTATACTTTCCAAGTCATAATAATATTTTAGTGCCACGCAGTGCCAAAACAGATAACAGAATGAGACAGGTAACTTCTCATCTGTGTTTACCCAAAAAAAAAAACCGACAATCAGGAATTATAAACATGTACATCAAAAGCAAGACTCGTGTTATGCCATAAGATCCGCTACTAAAAACTTATTGCTATAAAAGATGCAGCGTAGCAATTGAATAAATACTTCTTTGCTAGAATTCTCTCCAGTTTACTAACACCTTCAGCAATTACTTCTGCAATTGGCTTATTAAGAGCCTGGAATAAAATTCAAATACAAAGATACCATTTTTCTCGACAACGAAGAACCACCAAAAAATCTAAATACTTATAAAATCATTTTCTATCTTACAGCGGAGTCGCCGAACAATGTGTCAGGCTCTCCTCCATCGGTGAGTCCACTATCCTCATCAGTCATCTTACAACGAGAAGGAGTAATAACCCAACCGCTAAGTACACCCGCGTCCCCACTCTCCTCCTTATCCTCGCCAGTAACACAACTGAATATCCCATCTCCTGAAGACTGCACGCAAGATCCCAATTGGCAAGCGACAAAGCCGACTGTCCGTGAACGAAATGCCGCTATGTTCAACAACCACCTCATGGCCGACATTCAATTTATCGTCGGCAGTCCTGGTAAAGAATATCTCCGTGTCTTCGTTCATTAAACAAAAAGATCCCCTTAACAAAGATATCAGTAACAACAGTGCATAATTATTACAGGGCACACGCAATCCATACCCGCACACAAGTACGTACTGGCTACCGGAAGTTCCGTCTTCTACGCAATGTTCTACGGTGGCTTGGCAGAGAATAAGAAGGACATAGAAGTACCGGATGTGGAACCAGCGGCTTTTCTCACACTTTTAAAGTACGTATCTACGGCAAGCATCCGTCTTTCATATCCGCAATTAATCAATTAGACCCAAGAAATATTCCTAAACTAGACAAATATAGCAAGATATTCCTTAACTTTTCTTCAGATACATGTACTGCGATGAGATTCAGCTGGAAGCGGATACGGTATTGGCGACGTTATACGTCGCCAAAAAGTATATAGTGCCGCACTTGGCCCGCGCATGCGTGAATTATCTCGAGACAAGTTTGACAGCGAAGAATGCTTGCCTGCTGCTGAGCCAGTCGCGACTCTTTGAGGAACCGGATCTCATGCAACGATGCTGGGAGGTGATCGATGCGCAAGTAAGTGCGAGTCAAAGGATACTAAGGTCGCTGAGCTTTAGCGAGAGCGACGCCAATAGCACACTGAACGAAGGATATTCCTGTGACGGTCGTTACGCGTGTCGCGCGATCAGTTTCTGCGACAGTAGATTTCTCTACGCGGAGAGTCCCTTTGAAAATTTGAAGAGCCAACGTGCTTACAACGCCATGAGACTGGACTCGAGTGATGCCGTGAATATTCACAATAAATTCTCAATCCTTCCTTACTCGTTGAGCCTTTCGGAGAGCGATTGCTACCCGATCACGGACAAACTCGACAATTCTTCGTTGAGTCGCACCAGGAGCGAACCTCGTTTCCCTGATAATAGCTTGTTGGAAATTGAGGTCACGCAGAACATCACGTATCGTGATAGTTTCACGGACGATTATGAATGCAACGAGAACAATATTAATCTTGACGATTGTTGTCGCAATAATTGTGATCATTTCACTAGGCGAGCTTGAGCAGAACGGAACGAAGTTTTGCGCAGCCCAGTCGTTTGAATCTCACAAACCCGAGAATACTCGGTTTCGCTCGTTCGGACGACTGTGATCAAATTTTCGAAGAGAAACAGTGCCGTTATATTTATGAGACGTCGGACGAAATGACAATTATAGATTCTAGCCTGTAGCGTGTCCAAATTTATGATCGAAACTTTAAGGATCTACGATTTATCGAAAGAGTGCGCAATTTTCTTGCCCGTTGCGGTTTCGTGGAAACGGTCACGTGGCGTGACGTAACTGGTTGGCCCCGTTGGTGCGAGAAGCGCGAAACCGGCAGTTAAATAATTGAATTAGTCAAATGAAAGAGAGTGAGACAAAAAATCTTGTGAAATCGCAATTCGCAAAATATTTTCAGACTACCTATTATTACGAGGAAATAAATTTACTCGTGTGACGTCAAAATGCATATACAGTTATGCGCGTTAACGTGTCCCGTAAATATTATATGAAAATATGTTATCCACGTTGACGGGACTATCGCCTGTAGATACCTCCTTTAGAAAGGAATGGAAAAAGTTAAGTATGAGATTCTTTAAGCTTTAACGCGACACGCGATCCTGTGGTGAATTGTCGATAGCGAAACGTTCAGTATTAATTGTAAAGGATTATGCAGTCTTAAGTACAAATTTTTTTGCTCAAGTTTGGGGAAAATGTAATTTTCCTTTCAAAGAGGAAAGAAAAATAAATTTTTTTTTACTTTCATTCGAAATGCGATTTAGGATTAATTAATACATATCCGACTTGTGCAATAACAAGTGCAAAAGATCGAAATAACAATTGACACTTATTTGACGTCTCTTTGCAATTTTATTCCATCTTTTTTTTTTGTGACCTTGTAAATTCAAAATTTCTCTTTCTATTAACGTCCGTTTATCGTTCAAGGGAAAGTTTAATCTTATTTTCGAAAATAATTTATCCGTATTTATTTCTTTCCCCGTACTACATTAATTTGCTTGGCGATATCTGTGACAGCTACAATAAAAAAATAATTTTTTTTTTCCCGTCAGTGTGAAAACAGAAACCCAATGAGAGAATGTTAAATCTAGTTCATAAATTTTATTTTCAAAAATATCTAACATTGTTCGTACTTGTTTTAAGGCCCCGACGACGATACAAATAAGAAATCGACTGACATGTAAACCATATTTATCGTTATGTTGTAACGTCGTAACACGAGCGTAAAATAAACACAAATTATCACTGCCACAATTATAAAAAAAAAAAAAAAGAAAAAAAAAGAGAAAAAAAAGACAAAATAAATGTTATACGAGTTTACGAAAAATAAATCAGTTCAAATTTGTTCGTATTATTCCCTATTGCGAACGCTTGATATCAAATCACCATTAAATATTAAATGCTGTTAAATTTTTGAAAGTGTAAGAAAGAAATAAAGCGCAGAACGAAAATTCAGTATTATCTCGCGATTATGAAATTTCTTACTTTCAAAATTCGTAACAAAAAATTTTTTTACGAAATACAACTGGCCTCCGGGTCATCCGATGCCGTTCACATTTAATTCATAATAATAAAAATACGTATAATCTATTATCGTACGAAACTCAGTTCTCGGCAGAATTAATATAACCGATTTACGAAATTAAAGAAAAAAAAACTATGTACAAGTTAGTTAAATATTAAATAATGAATTTGCCTGCAGGCGGAAATGGCCCTGAGGTCGGACGGTTTCGTTGACATTGACATCCACACTCTCGAGTCAGTTTTATCTCGCGAGACTTTAAACTGCAAGGAGACCCATTTGTGGGATGCTGCGCTCAGATGGGCATCAGCGGAATGCGTGAGACGTGAGATCGAGCCGACGGCGAATAATCAGCGTAGACTTTTAGGTGAGTTTAATTATTTTTGTATTATTAAAAAGAGTAAGAAACAAAAAGATAAATAACCTATCTACGTTAGGACTTGGTAACACAAAAAAAAAACAACTGACCATTGGCCACTGCGCATGCGGATGTACTTTGCACGAAATATATCGTATATGGATTTATTTCAGGATCTGCTTTGAATTTAATTAGGCTTCCCGCCATGAGTCTCGAAGAATTCGCCGACGGAGCGGCGCAAACCGGCATACTGACGCAGCAGGAAACTATCGACATTTTTCTTCACTTCACCGCCAGCACAAAACCACAGCTTTGCTACCCGACAAAGCCACGGCAAGGTCTAAAGACCCAGGTGAGCCATTCGTGGATCGATTTAACGAAGAAAAAATGTATCTTTGTACCAAGATGGCAGTCAGGGCTAACGAGGACACTGAGCCTCAAGTCCTCGACCACCTGGCGCCATCTGGATTTATGTTTTTTCCTAGTACTAATAGAAACAGTTGATAAATTCTATCATTTTTCTCTCTTTCTTTTACTTACAGGTCTGCCACAGGTTCCAGTCGTGTGCATACAGGTCAAATCAGTGGCGTTACAGAGGTCGCTGTGATTCGATACAATTTAGTGTTGACAAACGAATTTTTGTGGTTGGTTTTGGTTTATACGGAAGCTCCTCGGGTGCGGCGGATTATAATGTCAGGATAGAACTGAAGCGTCTCGGTCGGGTATTGTCCGAGAACAATACAAAGTTCTTCTCGGATGGGTCCAGCAACACTTTTCACGTCTACTTCGAGAATCCTATCCAAATTGAACCGGAGTCCTTCTATACAGCCAGCGCCATACTGGACGGCGGAGAACTCAGCTACTTCGGACAGGAGGGAATGTCCGAGGCGACGGTTGGCAGCGTCAACTTTCAATTTCAATGCAGTTCCGAGAGCACCAACGGGACCGGCGTTCAGGGTGGACAGATCCCGGAACTCATCTTCTACGGTCCGCCGACGGACGATTGACGCAAATTCACTCCAGAGGTTATGGTTTAAGAAGAATCCTTGCGACGTCCTTTCGAGCTTTCGCTCTCTTAGATTTAGTCTCGGCGCGCTTTACATTTTTTCCCGAGATCATTATTCCAACGATCGCTATGCTTGTCTCTCTTAATTCACTACAGTTCACTGGTCCAAACGAATCATCACGTCTACGTGTTAGTATTGAAAAGTGTCTTTGGCTTTTCGGACCTACCAATTTTCTTACTTCGGATCCGATCTATCTCGTGTACATACAAACGGTCATAACGTACAATTCCAGACAAGTGTGACGAACGAATGAATAAGTCGCGTGAATGAAATGATTTAAAAAAAAAAAAGGAAAAATTTGGTGCCGAGAGACTTTGCGAGAGGAAGTTTAATAAACTCAGACAAAGAGTAGGTGAACGTTAAAAAAAAATGTCGGTGCAAACGGGTTTGCCGCAAGACACGATCGCCTTTGCATCATGACAGTCGCATCTTGTGCATTCGCCGTTACTAAGCAAAAAATTAATTACCTAGTTGGGCAAAATTTCTAACCGGAAGTACTCGACGTTTGCAAATATGCCTGTGCCATCTAAATTCAGAACTATTGATATGTCCTATATATTCTAGTCTGGCTGATTCAGGGTTTTTTTGTTTTTGGAATTTTATCTACAAAATTTCCGTGCACTTCTCTTTTCTAATGGCGAATGCACAAGGACAAAACGTGAGCCATGCGATCGTGCCCAAAAAGCATTCTCGATATTAATTGTCGTTTACGATTTTTTAAAATTATTTACATTAAGTGACATTGCGAAACGGTTACCTCAACGAGGGAGAACCTAACGTGCGTTTAAACAAAAATACTGTTATTCCTATATGCGTACCGCGCGATTTGTTTTAGATTATAAGTTAGGTTACGATCACCAATTGTTAAACTATCCAGCGAAACGTCAAAATTCTTCACGAATTTTTTTTTTTGTTAGCGCTTTACTCAAACCGACTTACGTTTACACTGACGCGGTTAAACGTTCCATCGATAAAGAAGATGGACGGCGATTAAAGGAAGGATACAAAAAATAGAGCAATAGTAACGAAATGTAAAAATTGACCGGATACAGCGGATACAGTGATACACGAGTACTTATTGCAAGTTTACGAAAGTCTTAGGTGTTTCACAAAGGATTGAACCCAACGATATTATATAACGATAAATTCGTTAAAAGTCAGCCGCTAATTCTCTTCTCTCATTATTCCCACCCTGCTGCGCTCAGGGAAGCAATCGCAATAGGCGATTATAAATTGTAACTTCTCTATTCGTAAGTTATAAAAATAACGTTTCCTAATAACTCATTGACGCAAGTTACGATAACGTTCCTCCTGCCTTAGCGAAAGCCTATCGTACGAAGTTTCTCTCGGAATATACATATACAGGCACTTGTCATTTGAAATTTTCTAACGGGACCGATCAACGAAATTTTATCAAGAAATACTTTAACCAAAAGCCAATAAGTCACCCTCGCTTCAACACACTCATCTGTATTATAACGCAATTCCGTAATTGTTCAGCCAAAAAAAAATATGTCTTGTATCATAATGCTCAACTTAAACGCCATTATGATTTCGATCATTGTCTTCGCGACCGCTTCACCCTAGAGGCGAAAAACCCAAAGAAGGAACCCACTGTACTTCAGTACTGAAGAACTACTGATCCCCCGGAACCTTCATCCACCTCTACTGGCTCTGGCCTCTTTCAGGTTAGGAGCACCCGTGCGAATCCCCTTTGTAGCGCCCATCCTGGGTCGAGTCTCAAACTTCCTTTTTCTTAACCCTCACGCGGCAACGTGCGATAACTGACTGGCTTACCCTTATCGCTTGTAAGGCCACTGTCCCCTCTCTCCTTGTATTGTACGCGAAATCGAAGCATACTTTGATTTACAATTTTGGCTTTCCATTGTACCGCCGGGTACTGTACCGATATTTTACTTAACCCTTCGTTTTTGACTTTTCAAAAATCATCTGTTCCCACTTACAGACTTGAGAGCTTGATCAGCAAATACTGTATCTAATCAACAGTCGACGTTGGTAAAACATTGGGATAATTTTTACTAACGTACAAACCTACTGTGTTCTCTTTTATCACTACTTTTATTTGCCAGGTGCATATTTCTTGAGGATACGTTTTTTTTTTTTTTTTAGAAAAACGCGACACTCGGCCGTGTGACATTGTTTCAGTGTGAAGAGTTTTATTATTATTATTAATTATTAATATGTTTTGTTATTAATAATCCAATAAGAAAGAAATTTATCATAGACACGTACGTAGTCGTTTATGACAAAAAGACTATTGTAATCGGAGAGAACTTATTGTAATTGTCATCGTCGTCATTGTAACCCACCCATTCATTCTCATTATGTAATAATAGCAATCGTGTATTCTAAACATCGTTAAATTCGGCATCAAAGCCAAAGTTCGAAAGATAGTCAATATAAGTAATACAAGAGAATTATATAAAAAGAAAAAACAGGCGCGACAACGCTTGCGCACAAAACAGTGAAGCCCTCCTGCTGTCATTTGAAATACGTATAGAAAACAAAATTGATTTTGCGGATGATCATGATCCCGAATTGGCAACGTGTAGGAACATTTGTATAATCAAATGAAAATATGTTTCTGATGCTTCGTAATGAAATTCACAAACGATTCGTAGGAGGATCGTCTTGATTGTTTATAATTTTAATTTTCTTAGATTGGCGTCATTCTCAAATATTACTTCGCAATATATTGTGCCCTTTGCAGATAACCTTTTCCTTTCTGCAAATTTCCGCCATTATGAAAACAATTGTGCATGCGTTTTCTCGAAAGTGCTAGTTTAGCTAGAAAAGCAATACTGACAAATTATATAATAATGAACGAAAAAAAAAAAGAGAGATAGCCAACATAACCTCAATGATATTCTATAGACATTGATTAGAGATAATGATATATATGTACATATTATAATCTTTATAATCACAAATGACGCGAGTCCAATTTTTCTGGGCTGGATGCATAATATATATTCGTGAATAACTTTAGAGACACGTGTGGTCGATTTACATGAACAAGAATAACCAATGATTTTTCATTTCATATGCTAAACAATTGTACGGGATTGAAGGAAGGAATCGATTAATATTTATAAGTGGTTAACTGCTTACGTAACTTTTTACAAAATTTCTAAGAGACAGTCAGTCAGTGTCTAAAAAATGATACTGTAGAGATTAAGTCGTCAATTTCACAATTCATTTTGGTTTTGCAAAAACAGAAGCAAAATGTACCACGTTATAAAAAATGGCTATGTGAATTGTCATTGAATAATCGAATTGAAAAAGCTGTGAGTTTGCGATAGGCTGATTAAAAGTGTATAACGCGATATTAATTAGAATGAAAGTTTAGGCCAGTTAATAAAGATACGTTTTAAGATCCGTAATGATGAATCTCTGTAGATAAATGATAAAACCGAACGATAATTTTTTATGATCCTAATTATAACGAGTAACGGTACTTGTAAAGAAGCGCTTAAGAAGGTCAACAAAAATATATGTACCGTTGAAATCTTTTTTACGAAATAGCGATTAGGTGCTCCTTTATCACTTTAACATTTAATAAGCAATGAATTTCTGTAGTACTGTTAATATGTCCGCTTCTATAATCTTTTCCGTTGTATACAAGTTGCCTATTTCCTATATCGTTATTTGATTATATAATTATATGACAAAAAATGCTGCTGATTACTGTTTTGTGATATAAAGAGTTCCACCATTCCCAAAAAGGACTGACAGTGATTAGATTTTTTAGACTCTTAGTGTATAAATAAAAAATATTCTCCAATTATACCTTAGCTAACACAGTAAAACACCGGATAATTAGGATACGTTCTTAGAATCTAGAATGCTAAATGAAACAGCACTGAACGGAGTAGCGATAACCGGGGTTTTAGAGTATTCAAGCCATTTAATTTGGTATAATGTGATTGAACGTGAATCAACGTTATGGAATTTTATATAAAATGATTCGTCTGACTGTCAAAATTGCAGCTTAATACTTCATTCAACTTATAAACATATAAATGTTACTTACCCATTGATGGTATGTTGATACATAGTGCCTGGGTAAATCGAAGGTATGTTCGGCCCAACTCATAAACACAAATTTGTAGCACATCACTGATATCGATGAGCATATCTATATGATTTGTTGAGGAATTATTCTTTAACGAAATTATTTTATCTGATTTATAAATTTTGTTACTGCAGAAGATACTATGAATTTTTATAAGTCAGTATAATTTTTTATCTTAAAGGTAGCATTGGATTGCTATTAATTTTCATAAAATAATTTGGTGTTAGTTTGAAAAAAGGATACGTGCAGTGCCTTCTGTACGGCATGTGATATAAACGCAAGCTGCATGATTATGTGCTTGCTTCCTTCCACGTGTTAATTGTTGACTCAAAGCCATTTTGTAAAAGTTTACAGCAGTGTCGATGCAATGCTGATTCAATCTGTATTTGTAAATTTATTTATCAATGGAATTGGCGATACTTTCTATTCAATTTTTAACCCGAATTCTTTGATAAACTGTTACTTACTGTAATTGCATACATAGATGCGTTATACCCTTTCGGGCATTCTGTATAGTGATTTCTCTGGACTCTTTGCCATTGACGTGATATGCTAAATGGAAAAACTTTTGTTTAGAGTTTGTGGAAAACCAGGGAAGTTATTTCTTGTTTTCATGTAAAAAATACTAAATGAAAAGCTACAATAAGATAATAGGCTCCTATTAGCATTTGCATATATTTATTAAGTGTATTATATATACCTGCTCCAAAGCCTGTTGCTCCACCGGTACTATCACTAGCAACAAATTGCCCAAGAACCATCATATTTCCTGATGGTGTTTCTTCGAATGTAGTTTCGCTCACAATAAGCTGATCTTCGAATACTACACCACATTGCACACATACTGCGTTTCCACGAGCAGAATCTGTCTCTATATCCGTGGAACCACAACTACGACACTTATTACCAGACATCTGCAAAAGCACAATAAACATCGTCACTGAATCTTGAAGCATGTTAACATCTGTCTAACAATATGAATAAATATTAATGTTATACAATTTTCAACATCAAATTATATTTTAAGCAAGAAAGGTGAATAATTACAATGAACATCAATAAAAGCTTTATGAAACAATAATAAATTTACATTTGATCACAAAATAAATGCAGTATCTCGTTTACAAAGTCATTTCTAATGACTAAACAGTTTGAACATATTAAAAAAGGTAAATTTTAATTCATAAAAGACTTAAAATGACAATTGCAAAATTAAGTTTATCTATAAATAAGAGAAAAGAGTATCAATACTAACCTTGAATGGTTTTAGTGTTACCTATTATTTGTTTACTTAGGCAAACTAAAGGGGGCGATTGCAGGCTCAGTGGTTAAAGTAATGGATTTGCGATAGAAATGTCGAATGCATTAGAAACACTCCTTCCTTCCTTTCCTTTCCTTATAGCTGACTCCTCCAATGAGGAGATGTGCCAGTATTAGAAACACTCCAAATACTCAGAACCTTTGCGGCCGCTTGTAAATGATCATATGTAACGTATTGCGACAATTTCGATATAGTTCAGGAATCCGGCTATAGAGGGTCTACGTTTAGTAATGTCGAAACCCGCGATTATTCAAACGACAAATATAGGATATGTTTAATCGAAGACATTATTAAAAGGAGATTCAGTTTATAAAAGGACAACTCTGAGAGAGTCGATATATGCAAGTGGTGACATTGTAATTATTTAAGAAATGATATTAGAAACCTTATAATAGATCGTTGCCTTAGTTATGAATACCAGAATTGTATTCCCTCTGTTACTTAAAAAGCGTCTAACCTAGTTATGTTTATTTAGAACTTTTAATTTACGTTAAGAGTGTTCAGTGCCAGCTAGTCAAGTGCCAATCATTGAAATGGAGATGGTTGGACCTTTCTTCGAAGAAGCGACCGTGAGAAACGACTAGAATAAGTTCACAGTCTTCTTCCCTTGTTCCTTCTGAACTCGCGCTTGATTGACTAAAAACTATGTTGCTAGGAGAATCTTTGTAAAGACTCCGGGGGTGGGATCCAAGAGTTTGAAGTTTGAAATAAAGACTTGTGTATCGACTTCGATCACACCAGATTGCAGTTGATATACATACATATACGTTTCTATCTTACCTACATTCACTTTTATTTCGTAACGATCCTTTCAAATTCGCAAGGTGAGTTTCCACTCTTTACCAATGGAACAAAGCAGCGAGGGACATCGAGTGGGATTTCAAGTATCCCGCAGAAGTAGGCGCTTAATATTTGCGTGAACGCGCCATTATAATCTAGGGATAAGTACCGTGTATGCGTTAGTCGACTTATATCGTGATTGGAACAGTGGGAGGACTATCGTCTGCACTTGTCTACTGATATTTCCATTGGAAAGCACCCATAAAAACGCTTTTACGAACGGACCTATAACCTAATCTAACTTGAACCTAAACCTAATAAAATAACCAAAATAAGTAAAATCTAACCTATTTCAACTTAACATAACCTAACTAAATGTGAGTAGAGAAATTTCCCTAGGGTTACGTACGTCATCAATTCTAGAATATAGTAAAAGAGAATAAATAACCGGAAGTAAAAAACCTTGTTAATCCATAAGCACGACAATAATTGACTACTGTGTTGTCTGAGTATTAATTACTTGTCACAGTTCCGCGTCTTACCCTCAAAAAACAGACACCGACTGGAATTTGTAATACGTCAAGAAAATCGAAAATTTAAAAGCGCCGGAAGGCAAATTTAGACGGCCATATTGGAAAACTCGTTTTCGCATTTACAAGGGGTCAAGTACTGTCACTTCCTTCGGCGACTTGAATTGGACCTCGGACAAGTTTAGACTCATCGCCAGATCTCAAATTGTGAACGGTTTGTTTTGCAACCGTTGAAAGATCGAAATACAAACGGTGCAGTCGCATCGTCGTAAGGAAGCTGAAAGATCATTAGAATAGTTGACTTGAAATACGGTCAATAATATTTGTGGTGCCGGCGCACTTTAATATAACGAGGAACGGCAGTTTTAAGAGAAAAGCTGGCCGGTGTGGTGTTTTCAACGAGTCGTTGGGCAGAAGACGAGCAAAACGGCTTCTCAAAAAAAATCGTCGAGGAAGATGGCGGAGACGGAGGAGTTAGAGGTATAAATCTATTTTATGAATCAGGAGGGGGGTCGCGAATCACGCAGTGGGACACTGTTTCAGTTTTATCCGGAAATAACGAAACGATTTATCGAGTCAATTGATGCGACATTTTCCGGAGTGCGCGATTACATATTTTTATTTTGCGAGAGGAACTTTACGTGCTGAGGATCTTCGGCTTCAACGAGATTCATTGTTTACTCGCGTGGACCAAATGGATTTATTCTTTATTTGCATTTAAATTTCTCCATTGGTTTCGTGCATTATTTTGAAACCAGTGCGAACATATTTTCGTTACATTGTAATATTCTAGTTCTTAATATATAAACAACGTCAATGTCAAATCAACAGCTTTCAACGACCATGGGTAACCTTATTGCTTATGTGTAACTTAAATCCTTTCTTCTTTTGCTGTATTCTCATTTGATTATATTTTTTTATTCATTTTTTATACATTGGCTGTCCTATTCTGGTTGATTAACAGGTCAGAAATTGTTTTAAATGTTGTATGATTTAAGAAAGACACTGTATCATATTGTTTTATTGATTCAATATTCTTGTGCATTATATCCAATTTTATTATTTCAGTTTTTCAGTGGTATTTCATAAGATTTAATATTCTCATACTGAGTATTGTATTTTTCTAGTATATATAATGATGTTAAGATTATTTTAGTTTTCTTTTAATTAGATTTTTGGGTGTTCATACGAGAAACTGTTACAAACAGAATTATCGAGATCTATGTAAGACACGATGAGAAATAAATAGCAACGTTTTTTATTATGTTATAGAATATGGTTCTAAGTTTTCGGGTGTCTGAACTACAGATGCTTTTGGGTTTCGCTGGTAGAAATAAATCTGGTAGAAAGAACGAACTACAAACCAGAGCCCTGGAATTATTACGTTTAAGATCTCATCCAGTTCAACTTAAAATTCGAGAACTTTATAAAACAATTCAGTAAGTGATAGTAATACATTATTTATTCTTGTTAATTAACAGAGTTTTATTAGCCATAAAAAAGAGAATTATTTCATTTTAGCAAATTTATTTATTGCTTGCATAGTTACATCACTCTGTTTAATTTTAACAGATTAATAAATGTACAACGGTATATATTAAATTAAAAAATGATTAGTCATATATAAGCATGTCCATAGAAATTCAGTGGCATAATATATATCTTTGTTACAGAGCAGATCAGCTTGCAGCACATCAGCTGTATAGCCAAACTGGTGGTGCAGCAGAACCAGCAATAGATCAAAATATGCATTCCCGGAACTATTATACAAGGTATCCACAGATTGTGATAGGGACAAACGGACTTTGGCTTGTAATCTAATAATAGCTGTTCATAAATCGTAAATCTTTATCTAATAGTATTAAAAGAATATTAACAAAATTTGACTTTCTGTATTATTCAGACAGGGTCATGCTCAGGCAATGGGCCAACAGCAACCTCAATCATCTGTTGCTGCAACTAAAGATTTGCCACCAGCACATCAAGCATCGCTACCGCAATCACAAGTATCAGCCAGAACAAACCCTGTTTATCCTGCAGCAGGTTACACAAGTGTAACACCACAGGTATATATGGCTTTGACAACCTAGAGTATCGAATTAATTATCTTTGTCTAATTACCTTAGACCCATGAACATATGGATGTATCGTAAGTAAAATAAATTTGCATATAGATAATCAAACATTTTCTTTTTACAGCAGCGCTCAACAAGTGCCGTTTATTCGCCATATCCATATCAGGCAAAAGTATTGCCTCCACAATTACAAATTCAGCAACCATCACAATATCCCGTCCACCCGGACGTGAAGCTAAAGAAACTGCCATTCTTTGACATGCTTGGTGAGCTTCTAAAACCATCGAGCCTGATGCCACAAGGTTCGATGAGACTTCAAGAAAGCTCATTCATGTTTCATCTAACGCCACAACAATCTACTGACATTGCGAGTTCTAGAGATTGTCGAGCAGGAAGCAAAATGGATTACACTGTTCAGGTGAAGTATCTATTATATTCATTGACCTAACCCCAGATTAACTTAACCCTAGAAAGATAACTTTTTTCTAACATACGTTAAAAAATATATTGGATTTAGGTGTAAATCTTACGTAAGTTATTCTTCTGGAGTTAAAAACTTGTATATCAGAGTGCTCTCTGATATTTTGCTGTTCTTTTTTTGGAAACCCGAAGTCGAGGTGAAAGTTGCGTTTCTGAAATGCATTTATACATTGATTACATACATTGTAATGACAGTTTTGTCAAAATATTTAGAATTATTTGATACAGTAGATCAAGTTGATTTACGTAACTATGTGCAATCGAATGAAAATCAACTTTATTTAGACATATGGTTACTTTTTGTTACAGGTTCAAATGCGCTTCTGTTTGCAAGAAACTTCATGCGAACAGGAAGATTATTTTCCACCGAGCATCGCTGTTAAAGTTAATGGAAAGCCTTGTGCCTTGCCTGTAAGTCTTGAAACTTCAATCAAATGTGATTCAACCGCTTGTCATCAGGTTACATGTACACTTTATTTCTCTAACGCCACCTTATTTTTTTACACCGTATTTAGAATCCTATACCCACAAATAAACCTGGGGTCGAACCGAAGAGGCCTCCGAGGCCAGTAAACATTAGTCAGTTGGTGAAACTGTCGCCAACGGTGGGAAACCAAATACAAGTCACGTGGTCAGCTGACTATAACAGACGCTACGCCATAGCTGTGTATCTTGTGAGAAAGCTGTCAAGCAGTGAACTTTTGACAAGATTAAAAACACGCGGGGCGCGACATTCGGATTACACACGGGGTTTAAGTGCGTAAAAATAAGTTTTTCAAAATATTGATAAACAGGTTATATCTGTGATAAAAATCAATATCTTCCTGCGGATCTCTATCAAACATTCCACTGACAAAATACTTTCCACGGTTTTTCAGTTAAGGAAAAACTAAACGAGGATGCGGACAGTGAAATTGCTACGACGTCCTTACGCGTTTCACTTGCCTGTCCTCTTGGTAAAATGCGGATGAGCACGCCTTGTCGTTCGTCTACTTGCTCGCACTTGCAATGCTTCGATGCATCTTTGTTTCTGCAAATGAACGAACGAAAACCAACCTGGAGTTGTCCAGTGTGTGACAAACCAGCGCTGTATGACAATCTCGTCATCGATGGTTATTTCCAGGACGTCCTTAGCTCGAGTAAATTATTGCCAGACGTCAATGAGATACAGTTGTTACAGGATGGCTCTTGGGAGAACCTTGTGCTCAAGAAAGAAAAGGATAAGGACAAAGAACTCAAGTCCGAAATAAATTCACATAACAAAATCGACGTGGATACAGTTGATCTTGGTAAGTCAATGCTATTTGCTGTAAAAAAATATCGTTCGTTTATTCATTTGTTTCTTCACTATTTAAATAAATAATTTCTTTATCCTAGACGAATCCAACCCCATCTCTCCAACGCCAAAGGAAAAGAAACGCGCTGTTATTATCGACCTAATATCCGACAGCGACGACGAGGATTCGAATCCTAGTCAAAGTTCGAATAAAAAATTCGCCAGTGGGTTAACGTCACCTCAGAAGTCCAGCGTTCACAGTGCGATCAGCAGTACAAGTGAGTCGCCCGACCTCATGATAATTGATTTAGAGTAATATATGAGAAAAGGAAAAAAGTGGGAAAAAAACACTAGGAGTCTAAGGCACAAGATCGGTTAGTTACATTTATCATGTAATTATAACATTGAAGATGATTACTGGTCGTGTTCAAAGTCACGGCTGGTCGTGCAATGATAATTTAGCATTGCTGACTGATAGTACAAAGTCACTGAGCCCTTTCGGAAAAAAAAAAGAAATAATGTAGTGAGATGATAAAAATAAAAATAATAGCTGTGGAGATGAGTGCGTTTAGTTTTCGTTTTTAATTTTGCTGGACTCACTACCGTATTGAAATAAAAAGAGACTCTGAATTGATAATGTTGTCGACCATGTAAACGCACTTTTATTAAAATTGTGAGACCAGGCTGGAATTTCTCAGCATTTTCGCTATTTCATCGACTTAAGTACAGAACGTGGTAAATCGTGTATACGCATAAATTAAGACGAGTTGCCATCATTAAGGAAAACCAATAAATGATTTTACAATTATCTATAAAGCAGTATCGATGATAAGAGCGACTGGACTTTATAAAAAATCAAAATTGTCTATTTTTCCTACAGAAACACAGATATCCCAAAAAATTAAGTCGCGAGCATGTATTGAATCCTTTTCCGTACCTTGCCTTTATTGACATATAGTACTGGATTATAAAGGTAATTTGATTGAATAAAAAGTAAAAAGGAATAGGATTATATTTTTGATATTGCTTTAAAAGTAAATGAATTAGGTGTATTTGTAGGAGAACGAAGGATTTTGGTATGTTGTATTGTTACAAAATTAAGATTGTTAATTCAGTCCAGTCCTACAGGTCGATGTCATCCTCAGGATCCGGGGTCCAATCCCATGGTGCAATCCCATTTTATAATTTCCTCAGGAATGCGCAGCAGTGTGCGCGTGCGCAATGTAGCGGATGCCGTGATCGCGTCTGCACAGAACAGTCCCGAGAGAAGCGCATGCTCATTGACCGCCGATCACGGCATCAGCCAATCGCCGATAATGAGGATCCTGAAGAATCGGCAGTCTCAACCTCAGCGGACGCAATTGCACCAGGAGTCGGACAAAGAGGATACTATTCGCAATTGCAAATTTTGCAAGTGGCTCATTGACAAAGACAGAAGTGAGAAGGACTTCATCAGGCAAATATTGTGGACGGATCAGACTACGTTTACAAATGAAGCCATTGTCCAGCATCGCAACAATCATGGGAACGCTGAGGGTTCGTCCACGACGCAAGAAACACAAGCGGAAGCTGTGTGGTCAATTAATGTCTGGGCTGGTATCGTGGGTGATCGCATAATCGGTCCTCAGTTTATCGAGGAACAGGTTGATTCTAGTGAAGCGTCTTATCGGTTTTTAAATGTGGCTGTGAACGAATTACTCGAGGACCTTCCACTAAATGTAAGGCAGGAAATTTGGTTTCACCATAACTGTTCTGGGCAGGATTGTTCGAGAATAAAGGAAATACTTGACAGAACGTTTCCTGGCAAATGGATTGGTCCTGGTAATTCTGATCACGAGTGGCCATCGGAATCCGCAGATTTAAATCCAGTCAATTTTTTCTTGTGGAATTACGTGAAACGAGTCGTTTATGTAACTCGTCCTCAGTGCCCGGAAGATTTGAAAAAACGTATTATCGACGCATGCGCTAAAATCACACCGCGGATTCTACGCACGTTGGAAGCCTCTATTATAAGTCGCGCTTTATTCTTTATTCAGGAACAACAGTCTTCTTGAGCAGTTTCGTTAACTGATATTCATTGTCTTATCCATGAGATTGTAATAAATCCAAATGCTCCAAAGTATTTTATTTGTTTCTTTTTTAAGTCAGCTACAGCAAAGAATCATTTTTATTAACCTGATATGTTTCTTTTTCGCGGAATCGTTTAGTCATCAGTATAAAATTATTATTAATATTTAATTAAACTTATATTAATGATAATCGTATACCTTCGGATGTCAGTTATTGTTCAGTCGTTTCTGTAACGACGTTCTTTAAGTTTCCGTACGATAGCAACTCGTCATATAGTTGCGTATACTCGGTGTCCTATTTCAAAGAGCCAATGTATTTTCCTTGGCCAGGTATTTTCACTTTTTTCTTGTTGACTCAGTGACGTTGAAACGGGGACTATAGAGAAAGGAAATGGAAATAAATAGAAAATGTTTCCTGCTTGTTGAAAACACTATTTTTTTTTTGTTTTACATAGCGAATCTGTACCAATTGTTTTTCTCACGACTCATGGTACATGCACTGCACGGTGCATCTTTGAATCGTAAGACTTGGCAACGCGTGACATAGAAATTTAATATTTGAAAAGTAATACCAATTACTGGACTGTCAACTCATATGAGAATTTTGTTTTTCCTCCCAACGACATTCGTTCGTACTTACGTATTTGTTGAATTTAGGAACAAAAATTTCTTACACCCTTTTCTCACCACGAGTCATTCATATTTCACGTTAAAGCACAAACTTATGGATTCTATTAAAATCGCAAATATTGCTAAACGTTTTTATTTTTTATTTTCTTTTTTTTTAATCAAATATTGTCTCTCAGTGTTACACAAAGATTTTGATTTGACGCACTATAGGACGCACTAGGACGCGGCGTGTGGTATTTCAAATTTCATGGTAACTGCTGACAAGGATGATAAAGACACTGAAACAAGACTGCACAGAAATCAAACAATGGACGATCGAAAATTGAAAATTCGCTGTATCTTTGGAATTCACTTAGAAAGTGTTCCAATTCATTTTCATCAATGTCGTTGTCGAGTGTTGTCGTATGATTGTGAATAATGTATTAAATTTTAATGTAATGTCCTTTTTTATTGTAATTTATATAAGAAAAAATAATAAATTGTATTTAAACTTACGGTATTGTCATTTCTTCAATGTACATTAATATGATAGTGTTTTACTATAGCATTAGACTTCCTAGCATGTGTTTATTATCCTCTTTCGTATTTCTTCTCTTTTCTTAGTTATATGAATATTAGTTACAAAACTTAGTTATATAAGTCTACAGGCTACACATTCGTGATCACGTTCAGCTCGGCTACGACGGGACATGCATTATCGACGGAGGCGATGTTCACAAAATCCTACTCCCGGACTCGCCGCTACGATTTAGCACCATGTTTTTGGTATCGCCTAAAACCGTAGCGTTGTGCATCTCCCTACTCATCTCTGGCTAGTCAAACAATAGCGCGTAATCTTTCGAATTGTTAAGTAATGTCTTAGGGAGAAATTTTTGACAGTCCTACAAAATATTTATGATTAACGAATATAAAAAATGCTACGTTAAAAAATCATATAATGTATCAGCAACTGTTACAAAAATAACCACTTCGCATGCAGAGGTTATTCATTATAATGATTTGTTTATTGAAAAATGGTTTGGGTTCGATATTAATTATGTATTTAATATACTTTTATTGTCTCCATGTGATGTTCGTATATGATCCTTATTTCTCTAGGTTTTTCGTCGTCCTGTTAGCGAAAATCTTGAATTAAATGTTACCGCATAACCTTAGTCCGCGGACAAGGATTAAGTGAGGAAGATTTATAATGTTTCTGCGACGACTTGAAAAAATCACAAAAATCGAAATGATACAGTTACGAAATAATATTAGAACGTATAAAAGTGCAAAAGCAATTCGAAATGAGTTCCTGGATTATTTTACTAAGGATTTAGGCCACACATTTGTACGATCCAGTCCAGTTTTGCCATTATGCGATCCTACTGTTGCCTTCGTGAATGCTGGGATGAATCAAGTAATGAACTTTGTCTGAACTTAGTAAATAAGTTTAACAAAAAACTAACAATCTTTGGTTTTAGTTTAAAGGAGTCTTTTTAGGTAGTCATGAACCGCCAGCTCAAAGAGTAGCAAACTCTCAGAAATGCATAAGAGTTGGAGGGAAACATAATGATCTAGATATTGTTGGATTTGACACGTATCATCATACATTTTTTGAGATGCTTGGCAATTGGTCTTTTGGAGATTACTTTAAGGTAGAATATTTTTTTCTATGTGTATTACAAGAGTAGACAATATATCTATTAAATTTTATAGAAGGAAGCCTGTGAATATGCATGGAAATTACTCACAGGCCCTTATGGAATTAGCAAACATTCTCTGTACGTTACATACTTTGCTGGCAATGAGAAATTGGGTTTGAAACCTGACTTGGAGTGTAAAGATATATGGTTAAGTCTTGGTGTCCCAGAGGATAGAGTATTACCATTTGGTATGCAAGATAACTTTTGGGAAATGGGACTTACAGGGCCTTGCGGTCCGTGTACTGAAATTCATATAGATCACACAATGCAATCCACAAACCAAGCAGCAAGAGTCAATAAAGGTCATCCAGATGTTACAGAATTATGGAACATAGTGTTTATCCAATATCAAAGGTATTTGGATTTATTTCCGATAAATATCAAGCAAGCACAAATAGATTCTATATACTTTGCTTTACAGGCTCGCAAATGGCCCTATAGTTCCTTTACCAAAACAACATGTTGATACAGGAATGGGTTTCGAAAGACTAGTAGCTGTATTACAAGGCAAACGTTCTAATTACGACACAGATCTCTTTCAGCCATTGTTTGAAGCTATTAGGAATTCTACAAATGCTCCAGCGTATCAAGGAAGATTTTTAGAGACCGATAGAGATGGAGTGGACTCAGGATATAGAATTTTGGCTGATCATGCAAGGATGGTTACTGTAGCCTTAACCGATGGCATACTACCTGAGCAAAAGTGTGCTTGTTATTCTGAATTGCGCATTGATATACAAAATACAATAGCAATACAATAATTTATTGACACTTCTGTTCTTTCCTCAGTCACAAACTCAGAAGAATTTTAAGAAAGGCCATAGATGTGAGCAATAAGACATTTAAAAAGAATGGACTACTACGTGAATTAACATTTCATGTGGCAAATGGTCTGGGCGATACTTATCCAGAATTGCAGAAAAATTTACTAAAGGTAACTTGTAATATGCATTGTTAACATATCTGTGCTTTTTTAAAAAATTTAGTCATGTAAAAAACAACAGTCATGTAAAAAACTTAATATATAAATGAGAGACAATACCATCATAAAATTAGGTTCAAACGATAATAGAGTATGAGGAGGAGCTTTTGAATTCACTGAGAAACGCTGCCGATGGGGAATGGACTAAAATAGTAAATGAGCGACCAGCCTTGGCTAATATTACCGATTCAATAACTTCCGGTTTGGCAGCTGGCTACAAAGATTTAAAAGCTTCGTTAGCAGAGGAGTAAGTTCAAATCTCATACGTAAACTGTACTTAACTCTAACTTAGGGTTTGCATTAAAAAATTGTAAAATCAATTTCACGAACAAACTTCATTTTTACACTATGAAAAATATATTTTATAGGAGTACAACAATGAAAACCATACCGGGCCATCTGGCGTTTAAACTTTATGACACCTATGGACTAAGTGCTGATACTATAGGCGAATTAGCCAAGGCAGAATCGCTTATTTTCGACAAAGCAGATTTTATTCGAGAACTTGAAAATGCTAGGCAACGAAGTAAACTTGGTTTTACGAGAGCCAGCAAGGATATTGTTTCCCTAGAATCGCTTGATCTGTTGGAGAAAAGAGGCGTCCCTAAGACTGAGGATTCTGCAAAATATGATTATAACGTTAGTGCCAACGGATACGAATTTTCACCTGTTAAATCCAATTTACTTGGAATGATCGTGAATGGTAGGTTCACGCAGGGTTCCTATATTATATATTATATATTTTAATATTAAATAGTTCATTGAAATTTAATGTTTGAATAATGACACTGGAATTTTAGGTAATCTAATATCCGAGTCTGAATCGCAAACTATCGACGAAAGTCAAGCTATTAAAGAAGCCACTATTGTTAGTAGTGGAAATGTTGTTGAAGTGGATTCTATGATAGATGCAAATTCTGAAGTTGGTATAATACTTGACAAAACACCATTTTATGCTCCGGAGGGTGGTCAATTGTCTGACAAAGGACATATTGACCTTAAGAAGTTACGTCTTGAAGTGGCGGAAGTAAGAAAAATTCGCGGATACGTTATACATCTTGGCAAATTTATTGTACAAGACCCTGCGTGAGTATAAAATTATCTTGTCCTTTTCTACCGATGAAAGTTAAGGTATCTCATATAAGCAGGATGGATCAGTAAAAAATACAGCTTATAATTTTGGTTGTTGATTTGGGTGAGACAAAAATTTATACAATTTTCAGGAAACAGGAATTGGAGTTGCGCGTTGGCGACGAGTGCGTTGCCACGATCGACACAAAAACTCGCACTAGTTTAATGAGACACCATACTGCAACGCATTTATTAAATGCTGCTCTGAGGCAGATCTTACCTGTTGTCTGTCAGCGAGGCAGCATTGTCTCCAGGGACAGTTTAATATTTCAGTTTAGTGTTTATGGAGAAAAATTCACTCCGGAACATGTGGCCACTATAGAGGAACTCGTAAATAAATGTATCGAAGCTGATGTTGCTGTCAAGACTAGGATTGTAGATTCCCTTAAACTGTCATCCGAAAACGATTTAACTCTAGTGCCAGGAGAAGTGTATCCTGATACGAATATTAGAATAATGGAAGTACATAGTGAGCATCTAATATCCAAGTAAGTTAGCTCTAATTACAAATTCATGTCATTAGGCGATCATTACAATATCATCAATATGAATTGTTAGAAAAAGTGGTGCGGTATAGATTTATCTGCTGTTTTCAGAGAAGCATGCTGCGGAACACATGTCCATAAAACAGGAATGATCGAACACTTTTGCATTACAAGTGTCAAAGCTGAAGGTTCATCCAGTCGTACGATAAAGGCAGCGGTGGGACCTCTGGCAAGATTGGCAAGGTTAGCTGCGGAGAATGTCAGAGAAAAAGTGTCACAACTTGAGAAGGAATATCAAAAGAGTGCTACAAAATCGAATATTTTAAATGCAAAGATTTTCGATATGAATAACCGATTGAAAGGAAAAGGTGACAAAATCCTTGTACCTTACTTGACTGTACAGGAATGTTTGGCACGACTCAATAATTTGTCACAAGCTATAAAATTACAGCGAAGGAAATTAACTACGTAGGTTGATCAATTTCTCTAAAGTTAGCTCAGACTAATAGACAGCTATGGTTAATCAATTTTCTCTTTCTAGAAACACACTAGAGGACGAAATGAAAAGTGTCATATACTCATCTGATTTACCATTTGTTATACATGCTCTAGAGCCTACTGATACGTCGCTAAAAAATGTGTCTTTGCGAAAGATCACAAAACTTTGTAAGAACGCACCTGTCATGGTTATCGCACACAAAAATGGAACAGTGAAAGCACGTTGTTGCGTACCAAAGGTATTTTTAAAGATCCTAATACATTTAATACAAAATAAATTAAATTAATAAATTAATATCCACCTCGTCCACAATTCGTTAACAGGATATGGCTTCTGATACATTTAATGCACGCGCCTGGATGAACACAGTATTGCAAGTTTTTAAAGCAGAGGGCGCAATCGTTCAGCATCAAGATCCTCTAGAAGCTTATAACATGAAAACAATTCAGGTCGAGTTGAACGAATTAAAATCATTATTAGAAAAGGCAATAATGCAAGCAACAAAATTTGCTTCGTTGCATGTGAAGCAAACGAAGCACAAAAGCAAATAAAATTAATTTCCTCGTGGAACATCCGATGATCCAAATACGTAGGGTAAACATTGTAAATAAAAGAAGTCATATTTAAAAGATCTTAAAATATCTACTTTTTCAAACACGCATTTGTCCTTTTGTCAAAATATTTTTTCAACGACATTTTACATGTCACAGCACTTAACGTTTTGACAAACTTTATCAGGTCAACAAACAATTGTTATCGGGATACATACAATTTTTCATTCTTATCAATATTGAAACTATTACAATTTTGAATTATTACTATATCATCTTTGATTATGCACGTGGGTTTCGTAAAACGTTCTTAATGCGTACCACTGTGGAGTGTGAAGTAATATATGCTCACGTTTTTCCTTCATAAATGCAACGGCTTCTTCTGGAGTCCAGCCATGCTTCTGCAATGCAATATCTCAACAGTAATGGACATACTGATAGTAGAATTTTGATAAATTCTTTGACATTACTAATTTATTACCCTCATTAAATAACAGCCAACCAATGTAGCACTACGAGTTCTACCAGCTTTGCAATGTACATAAACGGTTCCTGGAGTATCAATTCCACCTAGAATGCCAGAACCACCAATTTGGCAACTTTGCGTTTCGCGAAATTGGTTTATGAAATTGACGCCACGTTGTAGTTTCTCTTGGCAGGGTGCTTCGAATATGTCCGTTGTTGAGAGTTGTAGAAATTGTACATTATGCTTGTTCCATTCCTTTGGTATGACAATGGAATAATTAGTTCAATGTAAAGTAATTATTGAACACTGTTGTTTGTCTTTACTGTGTTATCTTTACCTCGCCGGTATTGGAGAAAAGTTGTAACTCATAATCCTCGTTCATTGAAACAACTGCCTTGACATTTTCTTCGTTTATCAGCTATAAAATTTTATAAATATATTTCTTGTTTCATTGTTGGAATCCTTATCTATCTTGCGATAACGACATATTATTTTTCTTATTTCATCTATTATTTCAAGTCTTTTTATAATAATATATTCACGTGCGACGTTTGTACTTTGCAAGTATTATTAGTCGAAGGACATCGGTTAAAGCTATTTTGAAATTAAAATTTATGGCGATAGATTTGGATAGTAGTTGGTAGTTGATTTACCAAAATATCGCTTTTATGATAGGAAATAATAAAAAACGGGGATATCCCATATTGCATAGAATTTCTAACGTGATTAGTAATACTGCCGTTTGACAGATTTATGAGAAATATCTTTCCTGGAAATTGTTTCGTTCGGTTTTGCATCGTGAAAATGCCTTTACTGAAAAGGAGTCAGAGGTGAAATTTTGAAATTGAAAATTATGGAAATCTATGTAACAGTTCTTAAGATATTTGTAGATCAATTCTAAGGAATAATTTAAATATATAAAAGTAGAGTCTCTAATGCGATTGTGTAAAATGTAAAAAAAAAAATTCGTTGTCAGTGACTTATAATTCTTTTTTTTTGCGAATTGTATCGATCTTGATTCTAAGCTAGGAGTAAAATGATACTTTTATATTAAGATGATACTATTTCGCGTAAACTCATCCTGATATGCTTTAGACTTCTTCAAAGTCTGCATTGCTAAATTTAAGTACGGTTATAAGAACAGTTATAAAGTTGCTACAGTGGTCAATGCATTTTCACCGTTTAGTCGATTAAATCTTGATAAGAATTAATTGCCACTTTCAAAACTAAAGTTTATCATGAAATCAGGAATTGCTCTCAATGTCATAAGACAAACTGGGTTCAACAACCTTAAATTAATAGAAAAAAAAAATTCAATTAACTTAATAGACCAATGCTAATATAATTGTAAACAAATTGTTAAGACAAAATGAATTCCCTCAAAAGTTCAAAGATAGCCAAAGTGATATTTAATGGCAAGTTCAAAGTGAAATCACGGAAGTCTTGTAAAATTGAAAGATCGTTTTCTTTCCATTAAATTAATAATAAATATACCTGCTTTGTCATTCCTCGAAAAGGTAGGGCACCTAATATAACAGTCTCGTCGATTCTGTCGTACCATCTTCTTGAGGTAATTTTTTCCATCACCATATTATAAATCAGCGACGGATAAAACGACACTCTCGCAAACATTTTTGCTAGAATTTTTTTAAATCTCTTAATATGCACCAGATACATAGAGTATCCAGGGCTAACGTCAAGATCAAGACCACTGGTTAAATGTTATATTATAGTATTACTGATTAAATTGGCTATTAATTGTAATTAGAACTGAAACGTGAGATTTTAACAAATGGAGTCGTTGGTTACGGCTACCATGCAGCTCGCACCTTACAGCAAGACTAAGCTGGGCTGAATAACTTGTAAGAGAAAGCGATCATCCAACTTCAATGCCAGATTTGGAGAAAGGAAGTGGTAGGGAGATACTATGTTACTTCAGAGAATATTCGTAGTATCCAGTCACATAAATATGAAACCGGTACGCATACTATTATACTGTGGGACTAAAAAATACTGATTGAGATTATTCAATGAAATCATACATTAATTGTATTATTTTACACATATTTTGTAAGAATTATTGCCAATGATTTCCTGGACTTATTGAGGTGTAATTTAATTGATTAATATAAATACTAGAGTGATTTATTATTAAATACTTATTTATTTACCTATAGACAAAATACACAAACAGCTTTTTATGACAGTATTTTGTAACTTGAATATAATTAATTCCTTGTATTTTTAATGGCGATAATTGAAATTTACACTTTTATTCGCACCATGAAATTACATTAATTCCATCTCTTCATCATTTGATTTCAATTGATCAATGTCTAAGCAGAAATGGCCAAACTGTCCAGTTCTGAATAATCTAATAAAGTATTCAGCGGCAGATACCAGATCAAGCTTCATAACGTATTTACCGTCGAAATTTTTAATCTTCTTAGCTCTACCAAGCTTTGCGGCAATCATAGAAAGAACTTCTAATATGTTATCTTTTGGTTCTGGCAATCCTAAAACCTTGACGTACTCAAACCTTTCATGTTTGTTTAACCAGAATAGTAAATAATCTGCAATAGTCTCTTCACCTACTAAATGGTCTTGAAGACATCCCACGAGTGCTAGTTTAAGTCCATCATATACATTGCTGACACGTGGTGTCAGGATACCAGGGGTATCCAATACATATACAGAAGGTTTCTCAGATATCTTTATTCTTGTTAAAACAGAACGTGTAATGCCAGCCACTGCACCAACATGTGTAGCATTTGATTTACCTAGATGAACATTTCTTAAGCGATTGATCAGTGAAGACTTGCCAACGTTTGGTACCCCAATAATCATTATGCTAAATTCCGGTTCAAACGTTCTGTTATAACGATTTGACTCCTCTATTAACTTTTTGGCTAAGGGGAGAATTTTTTTCATGCCTGGATCCGTGTCTTTAGTGAAGTTTGTGAAAAGTACATTTGATATTCCTTCAAAGTTCAATTTTTCTATGATCTTGTCATTGTAATTCTGATCAGCCAAATCTTTTTTGTTTAAGACAAATATATGAGGTTTCAAACCAGTGATGGTATGATTAAATTCATGACAACGACCAGAAATTGGAACCCTAGCATCGTGCACTTCAATAATACAATCGACTGTCTTTAAACGTTGCTGCATCTGTTTTAAACCCCTACTCATATGTCCAGGGAACCAATGCAATGCATCTTTTTGGACGACACGAAAAGTTTGACGAAATTTGTTGGCTACATTACCTCCCACTGCCCCCGTCATTGTGTGCTACTATAATTTTGTTCTTCGCAATGTAACCAAACAGTGAACTTTCCCTGGAAGATAGAATAACGATAATATAAAGAACTAAATTTATTAATATTGCATATAATTCAACATACCAGTCAAATGTAATAACGCATACTAATATTCATACTGCATTACTCTAACCACAATGTAAAATACAATGTGACTCTAATTTAACAGAACAGTATTACGTTCATGTGCATTTCTGTCCACCTGTATGCTTTTAAGTCTTCTTCGTAGAAATAATTATTTAATGACTATCGTAAGTTATATTGAATAACATATCATGGAATTCAACTAAAAACTGGTCTGCTGTTATTAAAACGCTGTAAAAACAGCGAATTAGCTGCAGTCCGTAGTCATCAGCGTAGACCGGCGCAGAGATCAGTACGGAGATGCACAACGCTACGGTTTTAGGCGATACCAAAAACAGGAATAGAATTTTGTGATCATCGCCTCCGTCGATAATGCATATCCCGTCGTAGCCGAGCTGAACGTGATCACGAACGGGTAGCCTGGCGGGTAAGAGTCCTCCGCTACTTATCGCTGGTTCCCAAAGCAACACTTAGAACGAGACAACTCATCGGATATAGCCTAAATACTTTTTTTCTTTGCAATCCTAAATTCGATCGCACAGTGTGAGCTCGGTAAGTTTAATATGACAAAAGCAAGCAACTCGTGTCTGCCTGCACTGAAGCGTATCATGCCACAAGCATATTTAATACATATTTTACCGATGTTGCGTAGCAGAACGATTGTTGAAACCTATCAGGAACTGTAGAACTTCTCGAGAACTATTGAAAAAGCCTATTGTTGAATTATTTTTAAGAGATTTTATAAAAGTGCGATTCTGGAGCTGACATCCGTGTAGCACCTCCATTTTTGTAATGTTAATATAATATTTATTATATGTATTAATATAATATATATAAATATGTATTTTAATAGAGTCCACAGTGTTCTTCTCTCGTCGGTGCGCTATAAACGCGGAATTGGCAAAATCCAGAAGACTCGCGTGGACGAGGAAAAATTATTTAGTACGCAGCAGAATCT